ATCAGCCCAAAAATTAGGCCTGAAATGGCAAAATGGAAATAAAGTTTATTATAAGCATAACATAACAAGAGAGCCACTCGTGTTTTTTTTTTTTTTTTTTTTTTAAGCCATAACATAACCAAAGAGAGCCACTCGTCTGTTCTTTTTTTCTTTTCTTTTTTCTATACTAACGTTATCTATTGTTCTCAGATTTTTAACCAGTAGATAGAAGCCATGGGACAAATATTAAAACTCTCTGATCCAGGACTATTACAATCTTTTCACCGACTGAGACTAATTATACTCTCTAATCTTCTTTTTTTTCCATTCTTTTTTTCGGTTTTTCTATTTATGGAAGGAACTTTTTATGCGCGATTTTGTGTTTTCTTATGTCTATTTGCGCGCGTGGTGCTCCTTTGTATTGCGAAAAATCGCAATCAATATTAATTTTACTTTTTACTTTTCAGACAGAACAATAATCATTTTACTTCTTCTAATTTTAATATTTTGGAAGTATACGCATCTTTCAAAAAATTATCTTTAATCTAATCTTTTGCGTTTCCATTATTTATCATTCTCATATAATCATTGTTTATTTAGAAGTATAAGCATCTTTTATTAAAAAAAAACAGTAAGCATTCACAGAAGTTCGTATCTCTTTTAAGAAATTATTGCACAAACAACTTTCTTTTTTTCTTACTATATTAACTGTATATATATATAATATATATATAACTATATATATATTATATATAGTATTATATATAAATTAAAGCTAAAATTCATGTCTTTAAAATTTTAAAAATTTTGACCATTCACAAATTTTTTAAATAAAAATATAGATATAAATCAGTTCACAGACTTTGTTCTTATAATAACAACTTTCTATTTTTACCTATTCTAAGTTCTCATATTATTAAAATTAAACTTAAAATAACTCTTTTATTTGGAATTATGCAGTATATAATATTTAATAATTTAATATATAATTAAAGCCTAAAAATTATGTCTTTAAAATTTTAAAAATTTTGAATTCAAATTTTTTAAATAAAAATATAGATATAAATAGTTAAGACTTTGTTTTATATAAAACTTTCTATTTTTACTCTATTTAAGTTCTATATATTAAATTAAACTAAAATAACTTTTTATTGGGAATTATGCTATATTAATATTTAATATTTAATTGTTCTATATTTTCTATGTTTTGTAATAATTAAATTACAAACAATATTTAGCTATATATTATCCATATTAAATTATTTGAATGGTAAAAATTTTATAGAATTATTTACGTTAATATATAGTGTTTAAATTATTTAAATTATCTATATAGAATTACCTAAATAGGATATTAAATTTTATAATTATTAAAATTTCTATAATATGCTAATTTAATAATGTAATCTACGGAAAAATAGATACTTTAATAATATATTAAATACAATTTATAAAATATAATATACAACAGTAAAGCAATCAACCTGTAAAATGCGGGCATTCAACTAGTTACAAAATATTTTAGAATATTCATTTTTCTTGTAGTGAACTTCTAGGATTTCTATAAATCGAGGATGATACAATTGTAAATAATACGTGGATCAATATAACTAACTCCAACTATACCAAACATTTACTATATTTCTCATTACTTTTTTCTTCTCTCTCTACCTTCCTTTTCTTTCAAGCTCTTAATTTCTTTAATTTCTCTTATGTCCCCAATTTAGTTCTTTTTTCCCTCCATAACATTTTTTATTCTCATTCTTTTTTGTTTTTTTGAACTAATAAACCCTTCGCACTTAATCCATCATATCCTAAGGCACTCCTGATAGACGTAGACTCAACGGATCCCTCTCCACTTTTCAATCCAACTTTCATATTAAGTTTATCTTTTTGTTGGATTAAAACCAAATCATTCGCATGAAAATTAACTAATTAATATTTATATTTTGAGCCTAATAATTAAGTTTTGATGATTTTTCATATTGTATATAATCCAACTACATGTATATATGTAATTCAAAAATTAACTTCTATTTTTTAAATATTGTTGGATTTTTATGAAGATGGTGTGTATATACATAGAAAAATCCCAATAATAATGTGTCTGTCCTTTATTGATAGTATGTAGTCCCTTGTTTCAACCTTTAAGAAAGAAAAAGGATTATCAAGTCAGGAGTTGCATGTTGACAAACTTTTATTTAACAAAATCCAATTATAGCATTATCATGTCACCTCTAACTCTAGGCCCCATCCACATGCTCTCTGAGTCTCTGTCCTTTCTCCCTCCCTTCCTATTAATAACGTTACATCCATAAATGTACACATCTTTCCTATTTCCTACTTGAAACTTCCAACTTAAGTTTATACCTATATTGTACTGTCCAAAAATGATTATTAACTCAAATTTCAAAAACCGTTTAGGGGTATTTATGAACTGCCAAAACCGTTTCAACTTTCCAAATTAACTCAAATTGATCTAAAATTATATTCTGAAAATCTAATGATTTGATTCGTTTTGTAAAATTTAGAAAAAGGAACTATATATGTGTGTAATTTTTGAATTTGGAATGATCTATAATGCATTGCGATGTTTTGAATAAAGATTTTCTTTGCTTTTATTGGTACTGGTCTTTTCTATGACGTCCATTGCATGTTGAATATACTCATTATATTCTTATTTTTTATACTCTTTTAATTTTTTTATTTAAATAATATTAAAGCATAAGATTTTATTTAGATTAAAAAAAATATAATTGATTAATTTGTATTAGATTTTGTCGTACAAGCTACTTGTAATCTACTTCTTATATACTTAATTCTATTTTTTATATAATGAAGTGATCTCAACATAAAGTTTAATTCAGTCCCTCATTTATAAATACAGATTTTTAAACCCTGATATGTGCCCAAAAAGAAATCAATTCATCACTCAATCTTCAGCCCCTGTCCTCAACTCCAAATCAATATCTATATATAACTATAATGAAAAATAATAATAAATTATTCTTTACTACTAAGTAAAAGAAAAGAAATAAGAAGATAATATGAATTGATAATGGCAATCATTTTAATTATAGTGACAGTATTATTTATCCAATGCTAATGAGAAAAGAATATATAAACATATATACAAATTCATGAAACACAAATAGAAATATACAGTTCTAGTTTTTTTCAAATTTCATAAACATTATTTTTTGTCAAGTCAAACGGATTTAGGATATAAGAGAAAAAATATCAAGAAAATTAAAAATACTTAATCATCAAGAGACCATCTATTTATTGCAAGGGAGATATAAATATCTTACTAAATTAAAGTGATAGTGGTTATAAATCTATATAATATATAAAAGTAGAGCAATTTATCTTAAATGAAAGCCAAGTGTTAGTCTCCCAATTTGCCATGTTTAAGTAGAGCAGTTATTTAGCACAATTATAAAAATACCAGTTATTTTATATTTTATACAATTTTACCTAAGTGTAAGCATTTTGCTAATAATGATATTAATAATTTTATTAGCCATAAAAATGCTATTAAATGATATTGGCTAATAAAATAATTCTAAATTCTAAATTCTTTATGTTGGATAATAAAATAAATCTAAATCCTACCTAAATCTCAACCCTATTGGCTAATAAAATAAAATAATTATTATTTCAAAAGAGTACAGTTATATATTTTAATTTAGTAAGTTGATTGTGTGGGAAGAAAATTATTTTAATTAAATTTATTGAATGAAATATTATCTACACATAAATAAGTTAATATTATACGTAATATTATACATAACTATATTAATATCAACATAAATGTATGAAGAAATGTAAATAATTTTTATCTTAAATCTTGAGAAAGGTAAATAATTATAATAAATCAAATACAACTTAAAGATCAATATTGATAGTATATATTATAGATATTAATAAATGTGATATTAATATAGTTATATGCTCTATATTTTTTTATTTTGTCAAACAAGTCGTAATTATCTTCGTTATATTTTGGGATAATGTTAATTTTAGCGTATTTATTTGTTATTTTTTTCTATTTTGGTGTCTGAATGAAAAATTATGACAATTGAGTGTCCAAATTTGCAATTTTTTTTTTTTTCATTTTGGTGTTTCTAACGACATGAACTACTAGAAAAATCTAATGGGACTGATTAGGACCTACAAACGCCTATGTGTCTGCTCTGAATAATTTTACATGTAAGACGCGAGCGTGACAAAAGCGATAAAATGTCTCGTTTGCGCCTTTTTAATATCGCCCAAACGCAATCCAGTTTTTGTCTTCCTTTCTCTTCTAGGTTGCTAGATTATCGGATGGTTAATAATCTTGTTCCTGGTCTTGAAACTGATTGTTTTTTTTTTTTTTTTTTTTTTTATCGTCTCGTTTGCTCCTTTTTAATATCGCCCAAAACGCCAATCCAGTTTTTTGGCTCTTCCTTTCTCTTCTAGCAGCGTTGCTAGATATCGGGATGGCTAATAATCTTCCTGTTCCTGGCTCTTAAAACTGATTGTTTTTCTTTTTTTTTCTTTTTTCAACACATCTCAGCAGCCAAAATTTTTTTTCTTCAACAAGCCAGCACGCTCTCAAAAACTTCTGGCTTTTTTTTTTTTTTTTTTTTTTTTCAACAATCTCAGCAGCAAAATTTTTTTTCTTCAACAGCAGAGCTCTCAAAAACTTTGGTTTTGATAATAATAGAGTGACAGGCATAGGGTCTCTTCTTCTTCTTCACAATCAACTTGTGATAGTTTTATCTCTATGGCTCTAGATGCTCATCATCTTAAAAATGCAAAGGCGAGAGGTCGATTGCATTCTTCAGGTGGAGGTATTGGTCTTTATTAATTTCTTTTCAAGTTCTTGGGTTCAATTAATTCTTGAAATTTCTTTCTTGAAAATTGCAATTAATCTCATAATTAATAAATGCAGAATCAGAGGCTAAGATCTGCTTTGTAAGAGCTAAGGAAGCAACAACTTGGAGTGTTGCTAAAGAATGTAGAATCCAAGGCCATTTGTTTGATGAGGCAAAAAGAAGAGGACTTGGCACAAGCAACAAAGAAAACAATGGGGTTTGAAGCTTGTTTAAGAAAAGCGCAAGCAAAGAGAGAGTCATGGCAAAGACAAGCAAGAGCAAATGAAGCAATGGTAATAGATCTAAGCAACACGCTTGAACAAGTTAGAGAGAGACTAGTGTTGGAAAATAATATTGGCCAAGATACAGAGTCCTTTTGCTGTGGGTCATGCGAGAGAGAAAAAGAAAAAGAAGGGAGCATAGGATTGTGTTTGGAGTATATTAAAGAGGCGCAAGTCAGAGATTTTATCCCTTTTGTCACGACGGCGTCCTATATGTAAAATTAGTCAGTCTACATAAGAGGACACATAGGTGTTTATGGGTCTCAATTAGTCCCGTTAGGTTTTCCCGTAGTCACATATCATCAGCAGACACCAAAATGAAAACAAATTGTAAGTTTAAACACTCAATTGTCACAAGTTTCCATTCAAACACCAAAAATAGAAAAAAATAACAAATACATGCACCAAAATTACCATTATCCCTTATATTTTTCATATTTTCATATCTGTGAAACTATAAATTAAGGTAACAAAATAAATTTCCATTCAAACACCAAAAATAGAAAAAAATAACAAATACATGCACCAAAATTACCATTATCCCTTATATTTTTCATATTTTCATATCTGTGAAACTATAAATTAAGGTAACAAAATAAAAGATAATTTTTAATGTGCTAATTATCATTATTTTTGCTTATAATTTTTTATAAAACTATATTCAATTTAATTATTTTTTCTAATAAATTTTATTTTTTATTGAACTTTTAAAGTGTCAATAATTATAATTTATGCTTATAATTGTCTTTTATTTAATTAATTTTTTTACTGTTACAATATGTTGTACACGTGCAACCCACGTCTATAAAAACTAGTATATATAACTTGGTTATAGGATAATATAAATTGTAAAAAATCACACAAACTATGTTTAGTTAGTTTGAGTAAGTTCGGGAATTTGATTCGATTTTATATATATATATAGATTTTGTTTCTACAAACTTTAAACCGTGAACACTCCTTCTTTCTGTAATGCTCGAATTTCAGTAACAAAAATTGGAAGTCTTCAACAAGATGAAAGTTTAAGCAACTTACTTCAAATTTTATAAATAGATAAAAACAGTAATTTTTAAAAGAAATCAAACCGAAAATTTCCTCAACAAGATAATATATATAGATCAACATGTTTTTATATTTTTGAATAGAAAATTTAATTATAAACCACATATAAAAAGAATAAAAAAACATAATCTTAATTTAAAGTATTTGATAGAGTAGATAGAGCATAATATATATGTCATAAACGATAGATCTCTTCACTTGGTGCATGTTCATAACTATTATTCGACTACATGGTTTTTCTAAAAGTTCAATCTGATTAACTTCAAATTTCTTCTTTTTATCTGAAAGATCTTTTTTTTTTTTTTTTTTTTTTGCGTATAACTATCCAAATAACAGCACACATCACCATAAACAAAAAATATCACATAATAGCGACATCAACAAAAAAATTTCAAAAAACTATCAAAACGGCACTAGATCTGAGAATAAAATTTCAAGACATTGATAATAATAATTCCTGAAATATGGACTAGAAAATCCGCATATACTCGGCAATTTTAGCACTCAATAATCGGTATAAAAAAAAACACCAAACATATGATCTGATATTCAAAAAAAATAAAGAAGACGTCATGGTGACAGCTCAACGGTTGCCAACCCAATGGGAGAAAAACGACAAGGACCACTTTCCTAACGGCTCAAGGGCAAAAGACGTAAAATTTTTTTTTTTTTTTTTTTTGTATAACTATCCAAATAACAGAATACCATAAACAAAAATATCATAATAGCGACATCAACAAAAAAATTCAAAAACTATCAAAACGACTAGATCTGAGAATAAAATTTCAAGACATGAATAATAATAATCCTGAAATATGGACTAGAAAATCCCAATATATTGGCAATTTTAACTCAAATGTGTATAAAAAAACACAAATATGATGATTATTCAAAAAAAATAAAGAAGAGTCATGGTGACAGCTCAACGGTTGCCACCAATAGAAAAAGACAAGACCACTTTTAAGTGCTCAAGGGAAAGAGTAAAATGACAATAACACTAATTAAGGTAATGTGAAAATTAAATGTATTTTTTTAACTCTAGTTGTCTCTCTTTGACCGTCTCTTTTTTTTTTTGTGTTCTTTTAGATTTATTTTATAAACCACCGCCGGTCATCTTCTTTGGTCAGCGGTGGTTTCTTTTCATCCCTTTCTATTATTTTTCTTTATTTTATTTAGTTTTCTTTTTAATAATTTCAAAATCTATGATCGTTTAGTATAAAATTTATATTTAGTTTCTCAGATCTGTAATGGTTGATAGATCTTGAGTGTTTTTGATACCCTTTTAGTGAGGTTATTAATTTTTCTTCTTTCGTGGGGTTGTTCATCGTTATTGAGGAGCTTTTATGTAGATTTTTTATTTCTCTGGCAGTTTGAAATACAAAATGAATTATTGGTTGTTTGTGGTTAGAGACTTCGATCTTCAAGTTTGAGTAAATTTGGTATAACAAGTTTTCAAAAAAACAATGTTCAGGACAATATTGTGGAAAGTTTCTTTTGTCGTCCTATTTGAAAATGGACCAATTTTTACCCAAAAAATTAACCTCTTCTGCTAAGATCAAGAACATGTCTAAATAGAAGAATTTAATTTTCTATATTTATATTTCTTAATTCCTATAGAAATATTATGATGTACTTAATTTATATTCATTATTAATGAATTATTAAGTGTTTTTTTTTTAAATGATAATGTGAAAATTTGGAAAATAAATTCATAGCTAAAAATGAAAAAAAAATATAAATTAGAAATTTTTTTTTTCATTTATTTCTAATTTTAATTGTTATTAATTAGAAAATTTTTGATTGCTATTAATTAACTCAATCACATGCAATATCTAGAATTTAGGGGAGAACTATATAAAAAATCTACTAGTTTAAGAGCTCCCATTAACCATGAAGTTATGAATTGTTCTAATTCTTATTTCAACAAAGCAAAATTTACATAACAATACATATAAATACAGAAAAAAAAAAATGGATGCCTTTTCATCGATAATTAGCAATAGATTCAAAAAAAAAAAAATGAAAATTCATTTATAGACAACAATAAATACTAGTGGACGATTTAACGACATTAATTGTTTTTGTTTTCCTTCATGTTCTTCATTCTTTTCTCCTTTATCTTTTTTAACCTTTACTCCTTTTTCTTCTTGTCCTTTTTCCCCTTCTTCACTGAGCAGCATAAACGAAACTTATGAACTTATTATAAAGTTTGGAAAAGAAAAGTCTATATTTCTTGAATTTTATTACTAATTAGTGTGAGAAATGAAATCATATACTTTGTTTGGAGAGATATCTACGTCTACTACGCTTTTTATAATCTACAATATTATTTTGACTCAGAAGGTCTATCTATCTTTTATAACTCTTTTGATAATAGCAAGATCAATGATGATTCAATCTCGGGTCTTTTATTAGAGAATTGTATTATTTGCAGCTGGTTATTTTCTTATTTGTCAGCTCTCCAAATCTACTTCTTCTACTCCGTACGAGCTATGGTTTACTATTTTTAGTATTATAGTAACAATTAGTATTTAAAATTAATGATACATAATTCTTTTTGCAGACTTGCAGTAAAAGAATTATAAATCATATATATCAACGGTAACATGAAACCATAAGTAGATTTTATACATTAAAATATATTATGCATTACAATACTCTTCTTCGTTTGGCAAATCATAATAAGGGCCGAAATGGTAATTCTCTCATGTAACTAATTAATAGAATATTCATTCTACTATTCAGGTGATAATTTATTATGATGTAAAAATTATAAATCATATTTTTCAACTGTAAAATGAAATTATGCTTTGAATCATATTAAAATAAAAATCATATTTATATAGTAATCTATTATATGAACCGAGCCATTTCCAAACAGTTTACTAAAATTCGGCTCCATTCAAGTTTTTTTTTAAACAAAAATAAATCAAGTTTGAACTTAATCATTAAACAAACTTAAACTTTTAAAATTTGGTTCGGCTCAATTTATTTATTGTCCTAAAAGAAGTGAGATTTCTGAAAATTTGGAATTTTATAAGTTTCAGATTCTAATGTTTCTACTTAACCAATAGAACATAAGACTAATTCAAAATGATATGTTACCAAATATTATAAAAAATAATAATAATTTTTAATCAAAATGCTAAAATCGACTTAAAAGGCAGTTGTAACAACTCTTAAGTATATAAGCAAGTGTTTCTCTATCCTCTTTGGACCGGACAGTAAAGCAAATCAGCAAATCATATACCTAGCTATGTTCAGCAAAATTAATTATTTTAATAATTATTAACTTAATAATTGTCAGCTATTTTATTAATATGTTACCAGACATTAAAAGAATTAATGTTTCATAATTTGCTATTAATATTGCATCATTAAACACTATAAACAACTATGAAGTGTTTTGACCTTAGTTAAAATACTAATAAATGTCTTAAAAGCTATTGCCCAATAGAGATTTGGTGTAAGATAATTAAAAACATAACTAAGCTATTTCTTGGATCGTTTCAAGAAACTAACATAACTGTAAACCCATGGACACTCTTGTTGAAAAGAATGAGCCCTTATGGCATATATATATATATATATATATATATACCAAAAAGAAGGGCTACGACATGCTGTTTCTTTTCTCTAGAATCTCAAAGCTGATGCCATTAGAATCTCCATTTGTTTCGTTGACCCACCTATACGCAAAACCAATCTAATAAAAACACAAAAGACAATCGGCCGAGGAACAAATATATATATACACCATGTGCTAGTAAATCTTATTTCTACGATAAAGCAAATTCGACTACCACACCCAGTAGCAAATTCTATTGTTTTCAAGTTCACATAGTAAAACCAATTCAAACATTACCCATTATTTGTCAATTTCACAAGCCACTTCTATACCGATAAAGGAGAAACTAGCTACTTGTTACAGTTACTTCTCCTTAATGTAAAAAGTGGCAAACCTAACAAGAAAATAGACAAACTCTAAGCCATCAACTTCCGTCCTCATAGATGATTGATTTCACTCTTAATGTATATATCTATAAGCAAGTAAAACAACGTCTCAGGTAACATATTATATACACACACACACACACACACACATATTATTTCAAGAAACTACAAGTTAAAACCATAATGCGAACACAAACATATATAAAATGACTTGTAAATTAATCATAACAAAATCTGTCATGTATAGTGTTCCAATACTTCAAACAATGGCACAGAAAGTGAGTTGCGACTCAAAATCTCAGAATAGTAAAATATTGTACCTTTCAAGAATTGACAAAAGAGAGGACAAAATTGATCAAATCACGTTAAACAAAGTCAGAAATTCAAAAATACATGTTAAGCACATTGTAATGCACAAGAAGCTAAGTTCAGAAGCTAACACTACAAGGACAAGATTAAAAAGGTTTACTTATTTCCCTCATTTATTTTGGATGTGAAGGTATGAAAATTGCAAGATATGAAATGGCATCTTGTTTCTATTCATCTTTACTCTAATTACAAGTTATGAATGAGAACAAATAATAAAAAATGTATTATACAAAAGTCCACTATAGCTTGTACTCATCAACCATAAACAGAATCTTAACAAATCAGAATTTCAAATCATTAAGTTATGTTCAATGCCAAAGAATTCAAACTACTTTTTTGAGAGGAGCAAGTCTTGCCTGCACTAGGTTTAAACAGCCTGGCTAAATGATAATAACATGTGGAGCAAAAAATGAATATAAGTGTCTTTTCACTGGAAAAAAAAAAAAAAAGGAGAAAAAGAGCCCTTACAATAAACTACTTCTCAAACTACGACTTACCCAATTGCATTTACTAGTGTAGGCAAGAATTTTCATTACAAACCCTTTTTCAACAGTCTCTGATAGTATTTATCCATTTTCAATTAGTATTCTCCGTTATTTAGCTCCTTATGTATGTGCTTATATTGGTTAGAACAACGAAAAAGAAAGGTGACATTCTTACCCAAGTAGAGTCGGAAGTAGCATAAGAAAAACTTTCTTCAAAACCAGGCAGCAAACAGACACTTGACTTATAATAAGATTATAGATATATACAAACATATAAACTCATGAACCCACAATGAACAAACACGGTAAGAAGCAAGACTTATATCTTATCAATAGTAGAATAAACTTTAACATGCCTCCACATGGAACTTCACAAAATGCCAAATAAAAACAAAGACAAATAACATAAAATTATGGATTAATTAGCAATTGGACACTAACTTTATAAATAATCTCTTACTACACACATTAATCTGTCAACAGATCATGGACACAGTACAGTGCTGTCATCTGCAATACACACAAGGTGTCTAATAATTATAAAATAAAAAAAAAAAAAGTAAATAAAAGGGAGAACTAAAGGAGGCAACAAGTTCCAATAGGGTCGTCATCTTTATCCCATTACACATGCATGATTTACAAATGCGGTACACAGCATATCAAACAATAACATTATATACAAGCAATATAGACAGAAAGGGAATGATTATAATTCACATGACAAAATCTATGCATTATAAACAAAATGAAGATAGCCAATGGGGGACAACATGTCAGTGGATGTAAATTAAAAGCGAAGCAAACATTAAATACATGCATCATTTTAAAAAATCCACATTAGTCAACATTTCTACACAAAATTGTCTCTAAAAGGATAAGGCCCATATATGTGAAGAATCTCAAGGAATAAAGTATATGTAAATACACTACAGACATCCACAACAATTATCATCCCAACAGGCGCAAATGAAAACCTAGTGCCATATTGAGGACAATGAGAAAACCCACTTAGATTTAGAATATTGTTCAAATTATTCCATACATTGCATATACACAACATGGGGAACAGAAATAAACAATAATCCAATTAATCAGACCACAAAAAGTTTCAATTATCAGCTTGGGCTCACCATCAAAACCAAAGGGCAAGTACAGAATCGAAGCATAATGGATTAACATGTGCGGTAATTGATGCAAAATTAAGAATTTCCAAGAAACAAAGACAAAGCTGCAAAGATTAAAATGTGCGATCATAATACAAAGTTGGGATACAAGTCTAATTCTGAGATTGGGTAGGAAACATTTCTAATAGAGGGGGTCAAGCAGATGCAAATACACACTGTGTTCATGAATGCATGCGATTGCCAGGTTGTTGTCCATATTACAAAAATGTTAGAAGAAGTGAAGTGGGTAGAAAAGGACATCCATGTAATGCTCTTTCTTGTTTGGCAATAAATGATAGTGACATTACAACTACTTCTCATGCTAAAGTCTAAAAGCAGCACAATAATGATGGATTCCACATTCACTTCTAGTTGATCAAGAACCAATCTAATCAAACTAACCCAACAGGAAAAATAAAATCGTGCAACACAATGTTAGCCTGCAAAAATATGAAAGGTATATGATTGGAATAATATGCAAATGAGGGAACAACGAACAGATATACAGTATAAATGGGGAAATTTTAGACCAAAAATAGACCATTTATGTCTAAAGCCATGAGTAGAATAGTGAATAAGGGCAAGACAAAATTGCAACACACAAAAGTTATGGTTTACGCCAAAATGTCTTTTGATGATGGAAAATACTTTATACTGTTGATCTCACCTTTGTCAAAGAAAACTCTAATGAACAAAAAGATCAAGAACATTGAAAATTAAAAGAAAAAAAGTAAAAGGAAGGCTACAACTTCAAGAAAGCATACTGATTTTATCATCACAAAGTTTTAAGAACTGGTATATCTAGAAGAACAGAATTTTTTGCCTTTTATTATCTATCTTTTCTAAAATTTGCTACAGGAATTACTCTAATAGTGGGAAAATGCAGCTTCTTTGGCATATAGTGATCCTCCTCTCAGTGCAATTACATTGGAGAAAATAAATAGAAATGGGGAACAAGAAAACCAAACCAAGGAGCTGAGAATTTCAAAGATATATGTCAACAGGGACACAAATCTAAACCCTATCGATAGTAATTAGTGGAACAAAAACGAAAATTAGACTTAAATAATTGCCAATCTATAAACCTTAATTTATTGGATTACCATAACTTGAACCTCCAAGCAGTCCACCACCAGATGCACCATAAACATCTGTAGGGTCAAGGATGGGAGATGACGAAGAGGCTCCATTCCTTCCTCCTCCATCACCGCCGCCGCCGCCCAAATGCAATTCAGATATATTGGGAAACCCATCTCTTGTTTCAACTCCTTGATCATATAAAAAACCTTTAAAAACATGACCACCGATTTTTACCACTGCCTGATATGCATATTCATCTTCACCATCATCGACTGCTGTCACCCTAACACACTTGAAAACCGCCGGTGCGCGTACTTGCCCTGGTAGTGCCTCTTTAAAACTTGCATCTGCACCCAAACAATTTGTCAAACCCTAACATAAAATTTCAGCTTTTTTTGGTACAACCCTAAAATTCTCTCGTTTTCATATATATATACATATATAAAACAAAAATATGAATATACAAAACATCAGACAATTTAAAACTCAAACCTTGATGACTAGAGCTAGTATCAAAGCTTCTTGGTGGAGTAGTATTAGAAGTGGAAGTATGAGAAGTGGTAGTCTGTGAATTTATAAGTCTAGGTTTCTTTATCCCAGAAGTGGAGCCAGATGACACAGCACCACCACCACCGGCTGCAGATGCCATTAACTGGCGCTCTCTTCTCCGAGCAGCAGGCACCCACGTGCTCTTCACGTGGGTAGCACAATCATAACCCCGACTCTTGCAACAAGTCCTACACCTTCTATGTGTGCAATCTTTCTTGGCCTGGTTTCCACAATCTTGACACGTTGTTGTTCCAGATGAAGTTGAATTACCTCCAATACCACCACCGGAGTTTGTATTATTACCGGTTTGAAGTAGATTCGGTGAAGAAGAATTATTATGATGATCAAGAATAGAACCAGTAGTTTTCTTAATATTATATTGGCTGTGCTGGTTTTGCCAAAACTGAATTCCACTAACCCTATTCCTTCCATTGCTCAATAAATCTTGATCATCCATGTTTTGCGACCCGAGACATGGACCCGCCGTGAGAAGCGGAATAACCCCTACACCAACTCCAACACCAAGGGCAGTAGCAGCAGCAGCAGCTGCGGCAGCATTTGACCCATTGATGGGATCATTGGCAAGATTAATATTTGATTCATGTTGTTGGTGATGGTGGTGATGATTAAAAGAAGCAGCAGGAGCCACAACAAACATACCCATCTCAGGAGGAATACCATAGTTAATGGGTCTAGCAGCACTAGGCCAAGAAGGGCCGGTGGGGCCGCCTCCAGCTGCAGCAGTAGCAGCCGCGGCGGCTGCTGTGGGGCCGGCATTGAAGCCGAGAGACAAATCGTCCGGGCCAGCGGCACGGATGGCCGAAGAAGAAGACGAGCCAGCCCAATCTGCAAAGGCACCGGAGTCAGATAGAAGCTGTCTACTCCTTGTAGTAGCCACAACTACTACTGCAAAATGAAAAATTTATTGTCTTGATAGAATATCAAAGAAAGATACAAACTTTAAATTATATACACATATATAATAATAATTCGTTACATATGTGTGTCTAGAAACCGTTTTTTTATGACAATCATAGATGAGAGAGAGAGAGAGTTGAGAAAGGATGAGACTGAAAATCTATGGATATGCGTATGTAGGTGTTTTATGTAAGTGAAAGTGGGGTCAAAGGCTCTGAAATTGTATCAGAGAGAGAGAAAGAGAGAGACCTTGTTTGTTGGGTTTGTATCTTTATTTCTCTAAGTAGGACTGGATGCTGCCATTGCTGATAGGTTCTGGCTTGTGTAGAGAGAGAGAGAGAGAGAGGAAGAGAGAGAAATGGGTTTTTGTTGGCAATATGTATTATATATACTTGTATATGTTAACATGCCCAACTGTCAGTTTGGCTTTAGCGAGTGAGAGAGATAAAAGAAAAGGAAAAGGAAAAGGAGAGATGACTGAAGGATAAGGATTTGAAGGCAGCAGTAACAGCAGAACAGACAGCAGTGACCAGAAGAGAAGACTCATAGGAAAGAAAGAAAGAAAGAACACAAAGAAAGCAAAGAAATGCAACAACTCCTCTTTCTACACATTACTCTCTCTATATAAGTTTTCTTCCCTTTTTTTTTTTTTTTTTCCTTCTCTTCTATCTTTTATTTTGTTTTGAGTTTTTATTTATTGCCTACCTTTCCATCTCTCTCTCTCCCCCTCATAATCACCATCATCATCACCACCTCTCCTTCTTCTGCTCCTTCTCTTTCTTTTGTTGTTTTTCTTTCTTCTCTCTCTCTCTCTCTCTCTCTCTAGGAAACACAAGCGCACACTTTCTCTATATGGTTTACTAGAAAGCAAAAAATATATGAGGTGGGTTCCTCTCTACCTCTCACTCCATCTCCTCTCTCTTTCTCTCTCTAGTATAGTTATTATGATTATTGGAGTGAGATGGAAACTATACTGTTGAGAGAGAAAGAAAGAGTATAATTAAAGACTTTTGTTCTCTAGTTTTTGTAATTTTATGTGCTTTCTAAAGTCACATGACACCTTTCATTCACTTTCCCAAGCTTCTTCTTCTTCCCATTCATTGCGCGTGTATTACACTATCTCCCTCTTGCGCGTTAAATTATGGAAATGACTTAACAGAAAGGTTATAATTTAGAAACCCTAGCTTCCAAGCTGCTTTTGCATTGAACCGTGTAGAGCACGCTCCCATGAATATTACATTCACTAAATAAACATGGAGTGGGAGTAGAGTGAGTGAGTGACTTCATCGTCCATAAAATCCACATATCTGATCTTTTAGTGTCGTTTGGTTCGGAATTTGTCAGATAAAACGGGAGAAGATTTTCAAAACTGTCGTTTTATGTGTGGCATGTACAATTATTATTATTTAATTGTTGACACCTTGTAAGAATTAATATATATATATATATATATATATCAACGCCGGAGAAGACCTTTGTCAAAAACCTGGTCGTTTTGATGTGCTGGCATGTACAATTAGTATTATTTAATACTGTTGAACACCCCGTTGTAACAATTATATATATATATATATATATATAATTATGCCCAATTTTCTAATTTTCGAGGTTGAAATTATTGCATCAACTAATTCTCTTCTTAATGTGCCACACATTTCTTGTAATAAAAATTGTTTAATGTATGGTGTGAAAAATGATAAAAAATATTCATATTTTGTCTAATGTATCCTCAAATCATGCTAATATATTCATGATTTTATTTATGTATATAAACATAAAATTTCAGATTTATTTAAGTATTTAGGCATAATTTTATTTTTTCTGTATATTCATAATGCTATATATGCACAGATTTTTTATATGGAATAAGAGTGATTATCAATCAGTTCGATCTGATTCATATAAAAAATAACAAAATTTAATTTTTTTCAAAAATCAAAATCTACTTAAAACCAATCATTTAATTTATCAAATTTTGTATAAGCCTAAATAATTTTGAAGGGAGAGGTAAATCAATGTTTTATGTAAAAGAAAATGAATTTGCATTTAATTTGTTTTTCCAAAATTAGACTGTAAATGAATTTCTAGCTCAATGCTCTTTTATAAATTTCCAATATACTAAATAGTAGAGGCATTTTATTAACACGTTAGATTTATAAAAAGAAAATACTTTTTATAGGGATTTTCTAAATATTTATTTTTTATTTCAAATAACTGAGTATTTTCTACTCGCATCATCTCATTGACGAGACACCTAACACTTTTAATTAACAACAACGTGCGTCCTTAATTAAGGTCACTTTTGTTAATTGTTGAAAAGGAATCAAAAAAAAAAAAAAAAAAAAAAGTGAAAGAGACAAAATAAAGTTCTTTTAGACCCGCCAATCCAAATGATTAAAATTGAAATCTTAAAATTAAAAATTTAATCTCTACAAGTATAAGTGTAATTGAGAATTTATTTGAATAGTATGATATTTGTTATATTTAAGTTAGGTTGTTTAAATTACTCTCTCCTTTAAGGTTTTTACTTTACAATTAAAAACAACTAAATCATCTAAATTGTAACAAAATACTTTTTACTTTAATTAAATCAATTTTTTTCGTCTAATTACTCTAATTTTAATAATTCTCTATCCAATAATCTACTGCTGAAAGTAAACGATCGGTGATAAAATGGATTTTGAAAAAATTATAAATTTTAATACTTTTTAATTCGATGTGATTAATCAATTCTATCAATTTTTATTAATAATGAATTTAAACCCTATTTTCAAAAAAAAATAATGAATTTAAACCCACTTAATTTTATTTTAAAAGTACCATTTTTTTAATTTCATAAATTTTATTTTTCAATCAAATCTTTAAATGTGAACTTTCATAGATTTTATAAAATTCATGAATTTGTCATTCTATCACTTCAAGCAATTTTCTCGAGTTAATTCAATTCTCACGTGTGAGAGAGTTAAAAAGAAAAAGAAAAATAAAAGGCTATTGGCCCCTCTCCTTAGGCCACTTGGCTATTGCCCATGGGGCCAAAAATCTCCCTTAAAAGTCTATTATTAAGCATTCTAAATTTCTAATTAAAGAATCTCTTAATTATAAGTGTTTAAAGTCTCTCTCTCTTTCCCTCTTTTTTTCAAAGCACAATAACTAATGCATTTGCTCTCTTTTATTTGTTTCCAAAGTGTTTGATGGATTTGGAATGCACTTTTTTTTTAAGTTTCATATTCATTGTTCCTTTAGGACTTATTTATAGAAACACACTAGCTTCCTATATATATCTTGCCCTATTTTTTTTTAGGTATTTAGCTTAACTTGTGTTTTTTGGTTGCTTAGTGTAAGGTGTATAGCTAATTAAAGATATGTTTCTAACTAGTAATTCCCTGCAAAAGTAAATTATTCATGCATCCATGAGGATGAAGGATCATTTTCTCCGCTATAGCTTTTTAGGGTGCAGAAAAACAAAAGTCTTGGATACCTAAATTCACCTTTGTAGTTTTCACAAAAAATCTTATGACATTTTAAATTTTACGAGGACGTATCGGCACCTTTAAAATTAAAGATTTTAATAATATTGCACGCTAACAATAATAATTTTTGACTTTTTAATATAAAATATCGGATTGGTATGTAGTTATTATAATTTTTATAGTGACATTTTTCATATTTTTAAACTATTTAATAAATGTTTAATCCAATTAAGGTGATCTCTTTATGGAGAATAAATCCTCATTCTTAACTAACCCTCAATAGTCCAATCTCTTGTATTGTAATTAATTTCCATTGAGTGGAGAGAGTTCGTAGCTACTATATTAGGCACAAGAGGCTGCAATCCGGCTGGGTTGGATAAGTTTAGGTTAGGCCATTTTAGGTTTGAGCATCCTTGTTTTATTGGTTAGGCATATTTGAATCTAGTCATTTTGGGTTTTGAGTGAATTAGAAAAATTTCCAAAGAGTAATTATGAATTTAGGTTTGGAATATCACCTATTGACTTCAAAAAATAAATAAATAAAATTAATAAATCAAGAAAGTAAATCTTATTAAGTAAATTTTTTGCCTATATTCGGTGTATTGGTGGTCCTATACACCAAGTCAATCAAAATTTCTTTTTAATGTTACTCCTTCTATCCCAAAATATAAATCGTTTAAAATTTGCATAAGAATTAAAGAAGCAATTAATTATCTTAGATTGTAATAAAACCAATAATAATTTATCATTTATCTCAAAACAAATAGTTATTTGTAAAAATATTTATTATATCTAATGTAAATAATGGTAACATCGAAAAAACATAATTTATTATTCTCTTAAAATACTCAAAGACGAATTATATTTTGAAATAAAATAATTACTCGAAAACAATTTATATTTTGAAACAGAAATAATATTATTTTTATCCTTTTTTCTCAATATATAATCCAAAATACTTTCATTTAAATTAAAATATAATTTATAATTAATTTGAGATACAAATAAGCTCGTACATAAGAGTTGAAGTAAGATTTTTCCTTTGTCCCTTAAAATAATATGCATGGCAAGTAAAGTAGGTGAAAGCAATTTGATGCAAGTTGATGAAGATGTTGCAATTGCTTGACACGTCAATGAGATGGATAGTTTGTACTACTATTCTTACATTTAAGTGACAAAGAAAGAACTTGTTTAAATAAATTATTAAAAAAAAAAAAGAAAAAACATGTGATGATTGAGTCTTTAGGAGATGCATTGGAAAGAGACAACAAAGGGACTTGCGTATTTGTATCAAAGACTGAAAATTGGAATATTATTAAAACATGTGAATTTTAGCCTATTTAATATGTGATGGACTGCGCATCTATGTTACTTATAAAACACAATTTTAAAAATCCTATAGTTTGTCCGGCGAAATAAAATGCATATTACTTATAAAGTTGGGTTTAAAATATTTAAAATCATTACTAGGAGTTGTTTAAGAAATTGTTAATTGTTTTAATAGTTGTTAGTTTATTTTAGTAGACTTTCATCGGATGTTAAAACTTTTGTTCGGCAATAGCTCTTCATGTATTGGTAACTATTAGTTATTTTAATAACGTATAGCATTTAGCTGTTAGCTGTTTGAGTAACTTTTTATAAAATGTTAAAAGCTAAACGTTACATGAGTTAACTTTAAATTTTTCACAAAATGCTACCTTAAAAGCTAATTGAAACATTATATTACAAAACATTATAAAAAATAGTGTTTAATCAAAATGCTAAAAACTACTTAAAAAACTCTTGTGAAACACAATTTTAGTGTTTTGACTTGGTCAAAATAATACAATAGTGTTCAATGACGTAGAGTTTATACAGTATTTAGAGTTTAAAGGAGCGCTATAAAATATTATTGTCTTTAACGTTTCTTCAATATATTGATGAAATACTAATAAAATAACTGACAACTAACCATTACTAAGACAATATATTTTATCAAACATAATTAAAATTAAATGTTAAGAGGAATAAATTTTTATAATACGTTACTTCAAACTTTAAAAAACACTGATGTAAATGTTAATTCATTCAATACTAAATAATATTCAGCTTAAAAAAAAAAAAAAAAAAAAAAAAAAAAAAGAAAGGCTACCAAATGGTCCTTTTCATAAGGAGGGAGCACATGCACATGCACCTGCCCCGCCAATAAATCACTAGCACAAACCATTGCAGTCAAAATTATTT